AAAGTTTGTACTATAAAAGAGAACGTTTCTATCTGCAGAATTAGTTCACGGTTTGGTAGCTAATACCAATATTATAGTTATGGATTTTAGCGTTCTCCTGCGTGGAGTCCAGCCATCCAGCGTTATTTCTGTATCTCCGTGCTAGTAACGATGACAACGATAACGGACGTTCAGCTAGTGTTAAGTCAATAAAATTAGCATCGAAATTTGAATACGCTTGTCCTGGCGAAATTTTCCTACCCCGTGAGCTATCCTCCCTCCAAGAGGCCACACTTCAATGGTGTCCTAAAACAAGACTAGTTTCCACTATACGCAGCACCTTTGCACCGAAATTTGAAAAAGATTTGAAATACTGGAACCATGGGACCGACAATTGGCCCATAGAAGATTAATTTAAAAACGATTCCAACAGATGAAAGAAATATTGCATAACGCTAATGCTATAAAATCAAAAATAAAACAATAAACACAGGAAAATAACTCCACCATAAGGCAACCTACATCTTCCTACATAGTACCGCTGGTCAAACCGTTCTTGCTTTTCGTTGCGTGCAATTAACACTTTATCCACCGGGCTATTTAGAAACAGTCTTTAATTCAAGAAAGAATCTTCTACAGCACCATACACCAATCTAAGCTGGCAATAATTCCTCCATACTGTTGCTAGGTACATCGAGAGCCAAGTATGTTTCCAAAAATTGAACAATGTAAGTAGACAACCATCGATACAGTAAATAAATTCGAAAAGCTAAATACTGCTATTACAAAGTCTATGAATAGGCTCCCGGTACATAAAGTGTCAAGGAAGGGACGGAGATGCAGGGGTGGTGAGATGCAGGGGTGGTGAGATGCAGGGGTGGTGAGATGCAGGAAACGGTAGCCGTAGAAAACGATTGGAACCGAGATTCATCGCGCGACAACAAGACGACGACGTGTTTAGCGTCGTTTGCCCGTTCAAAAAACCAAATCCTGCGGTAGACTGGTCGGCCGTTTGGCTCCACTGGCTGGTGCTTCTCATGTAAAGCAACTGTTCGTCTACCTCTCTTACCCGGCGGGGCAACCATCCTCTGCCATTTCTGGAACAAGGTCGTCTTCAAGCAGTCCCGCGGTGACAACGCGTACGCCTTGTGCCTCGACATTAGCTCCTGCATCGGCTCCAAGATCACGCATAACTGGAAAAACAGCCAGGGAATGGTTATCGTTAATTGGAGCAGTCTCGAACTTGGCCTTGATTGCTTTGTCTCTGCGCGGCGATTATCGCGGGAAACCGTAACGATTGGTGGAAATATGTTTTAATCTAATCTGTAATATTAATTTTTCTTCCATTTACGTCTTTAACGATTTCAAATCTAGAGGTGCATGCTTCCAATAAACGATATACAATGGAAAAAACCTCTAGGAATCATGAATTTTTTCGGCTAAGTAAGTCTTTACAAATATAAAAGCGGAATTATCCGTGTATAATAAACTATTTAAGACATATATAGATTGTAAGCGTACATGGAATTGTCATCATTTAATTACAGAAAATTTCCATCGACATGCTGTGTTCAGATGTGCAATTAAATGTAAGAAAGGTGTAGCGTAAAAACGATTTTTGAACAGTAAAACAATGTCTGAGAAATAAATTATTTTGTGACTTTTATTAGCGGGCTCTGATATAATCTTGCAGAAGAGGCGATTTTCTTGTACAGAATATTTCTAATCCGTGATATTAACTCCTCTTTAATTCATCTTTTGATCAAATTAAAATCGAACACAAAGCACGGTGTAATCGCGCAGAAGAGGCCATCTGAAATTTGTTCAGGCGATAAAAACCGATTCGATTACTCGCGATATCTACTTTTTAACGGGTCACCATCGGTCCTTTACACCCCGTAGATGTTACCGAAAGTCGACGAGAAGCGCGCGTCGCGCGTATTTTTGTTTGGCGAATGATTTTCATGCAAATCGAACGAAAACTAATCGGAAATGAAACGAACGCGGCTGTTATTTAATCCGACGCGACTTCGACAGGGAACTTACGCGCGCTATTAATATGAAAATTATCGTATACGGCCGTGCAGCAGTTGAAAATAAACTTTCTAAAATATATTCGCGTGGCGCGTAACGCTGGCGTACTGGTAGCAAATTAATTTTGGTTTACGTTTGCCCCTGATAAAACTGAAATCCATTTTACATTATTATTATTATTACTACTACTAATATTGTTGTTATTATTATTATCATTATCAGCAGTATGATTAATATTATCATTAACGCGAACACGTAATATCGCG